CTTTTATCTATAGTTTCTTGGGTTTGATATCTCCTTTTTGCAGACATATTTTCAAATACAAAATTTTTTATTTTCTAAATTTGACCTCGAATTCAACCGATTTAAAAATTGAGATAACAAAAACGAAGAAAGAAAAAAACATCATTTGATGGGCCCAAAATTTCACTTCAATGGAACCCTTTTTTGGGGAGTAAGTGGGAGCTTTTTGGAGCCAAAATATGGAGAATATCATTGGAACAAAATTGGGTAAAACACTATTTTCAATACCAACCCAATAATTTTGTTTCGATTTGGAAAAGGGCCTTAGAAAAATGCAATCTTTAAGATAGCTTTATTGTGAAAGGAACATAAAGAAGAACAAAAGGTAGAGGTAGCAGGAATAAGTAGGGGATAGCACCAATGGAAAAAACAATGCCTAAAAAGAACACAAATTAAAGTGGAATGCTTTAAATCTTTTTTTTTTCTTTTTATTAAAAGAATTACTTGTTGACCCATTTTACATCTTCCCCAAATGAAATGAGAGGACTTCAAATTTATTCGCATAACAATTTTATTTAAAATTTTGAAGTAGTTAAGTCACGATCAAACAACATGTCACACTAAAGTGATAGTAATACGTTTGGTATAAAAACGTACCTAATTTTGTATCGTATGTGGGTTTTTCTTAAAATAACCGAACTCGGGCATTAGGCATAGGCTCGACTTTTAGGTTATGCAAACGTAACCGATGAGTCGAGAACACCCTTGAGAAAACGACCCACAACTAGTTTATGAAAACTTGTAAACATTGTCCGTTTTAGTCTGTTACGTATAGTCGTTAGCCTCACGGTTTTAAAACGCGTCTTCTAGGAAAAGATTTCCACACCCTTATAAGGAATGCTTTGTTCTTCTTTCCAACTGATGTGGGATCTCACAATCCGCTGCCCTTAGGGGGCCAGCATCCTCACTGATACATCACCTGGTGTCTGGCTCTGATACCATTTGTAACGGTTCAAGCCCACCGCTAGTCGATATTGTATGTTTTAGCTCGTTACGTATTGATATTAGCCTCACGGTTTTAAAACGCGTCTTGCTAGGGAGAGGCTTCTACACCCTTGTAAGGACTATTTTATTCTCCTCTCCAACCAATGTGAAATCTCACCATCTACTCCTCTTAGGGGCCAGTGACCTCGCTTAGCAGATATTATCCGTTTTAGCCTCGAGGTTTCCACACCCTTATAATGAATGTTTCGTTGTCCTCTTCAACCAACCGACGTTGGATCTCACAAAATAATGAACTAGTTTTTGGAAAGCAAGGCTTACCAGAAGAATTGGGGTAGAAGCCAGATGCCCAATAGCGAGCATAACACTGTCCCAAAAAGACATCAGCAGCAGCAGCTGATCCACACAAGCTCTTCAACTTTCCAACAGCATCAGCAAGGCAAGAAGAACAATCTTGTGAACTCAAATCTCCCAAACACTGAGCATACCCTTGCACCAACCCTGAACTACTAACCCTAAATCCATTCCCCGCCCCGACCTGCATATCACCAAGCACATCGTCCCGCCTTCGAAAGAACTCGACATCATTACTCGAGCTCGAGCTACACTTCTTGAACCTCACACTAGTGTCCAACTTCCCCAAGAAATCCAAGTGCTCGTATCTCACATAACACCCCTCCAATTGTAGGGATGCCCCATAAGAATAAGGGCATGCCAAGTGAACTTGGTTCACTCCATTCTGTATACACTTAGAGCAATCAGCCATGGCCATGTCCCCTCTACACTGATAGAGCCCAAAAATGGCTCCCTCAGGCTGGGTCGAGGAGTCATTGCCAATGGCATAGCCATTGTAGTTCATTTGGGAAGATGAGGACACCATTGATGATAGCAAAGAGTTGAAATTTGATTCAAATAGGGAATTTTGTTGGTATTTCTCATTAGAACAGCCTGCATAGATGAAGAGATGGGCTCTTATGGGGAACCCATAAAGGAACCAACTTTTCAAACAACAAGAGAAGAAGAGAAGGAAGAGAGGTAATTCAAGGTTTCTTCTCCTCATTACTATCAATTCCTCTCAATGTTTGTTTACTCAAAACTCTTCTCTTTGAAGCCTTTGTTTTTGGTGTTTTCTTTTGCCTTTTTTAATGCTTCCTTTTCAATTCCCCACAAACAAAACAACCCATTTTCTGTTTTTTTTAAACAATTGACTTTAAGGGAAGGAATCTTTTACCATCCATATCATCCTTTCAATACCCTCTTCTTAAATTTAAAACGGTACACGATCCAAACTACTTACCCGTTCGACTTGGTTCAATTCAACGCTCGATTTTAGTTTGGTTCAGCCCAATTTTCACTCTGGTTTAGTGGTTCATCGCATTCTAAGTTGAAATCGAGATATGAGTAATAGAATATATATATACGTAAGATCACACGTTCATTGAAAAGGGGTACGAAACATTCTTTATAAAGAGGGTAAAGGAACACATAACGAGACCGCTCGAAAGAAATAGCCCAAAAAAGACCATGTGGGCTAGCTGTCTTATAATACATATATTTAGTATTAGTTAGGTTTAATTTGGGCCTAGCCCATTACCTAGACTTTAAATATTGGGCCTCAAACTATTGAATTTTGATGGGCTAGGCCCATTTAAATTACTATATAACTTTAGTAACCAACGTATTTAACGTGTTCGGATATTTTAAAGTTGATGCAATAAAATAATCCTATTTAAGAATAAAAATTAGTTTAAATTACTTTTTTTTTATAAATTAATTCCAACTTTAAACCTTTTAATAAATAAATATAAAGTTTTAATCTAAGACTATGAGTAGAAGTAAAGTAATCCCTTTATGTTTTTTTTTTTTTTTTTTAATTTAAGAAAATAGTTATGTTCCTCGCACGGTAATCGAGACGCGCACGTGACAAAGAATTACTTTGCATAGAAGAAATCCTAATTTGCAAATTACTGTAATTGGATTTTCTCTTTTAATAAAAAATTAAAGTAATTTTTTCCTTTTCTAGTTTTTCAATATAAAGAAAATAATAATATTTATTTTCCTTTTATTTTATATTATTAACAAATAAATAAGAACTAATGGGATATGATTGAAATTAGTAAATATAGATTCAAGAACAAATTTTCTTGATTTTTTAAAAAATTAAATTACAAATTCAACCTTTCAATTTTGTTCCTTTTTTTTTTTAATTATTATTTTGTAAATTCATGAATTTTAAAGAAAATATGGATTCGGCACCTAATGTTTCCGACATTCTGATGTATCATCTACAATATGCTCACATTACTTACTTCTCGCTCCTACGAGTGAAAACGGTCCCCACATACCAACTTGAGCCATTTCAACATGTTTTATCTTCGCTTATATATTTGGTAGTTTTAACCATCGTATTTACGAAGAAATATTGACCGAATCCTTATCTTCTATTTGTGATGTAATTTTTTAAAGAATAATTTAGTTAAATATTTATTCGTAGTAATTTGGCGTGTTAATGAGTAGTTGATATATTTTATAATCAAGGTTTTATATGTTAATATTAAGATCTCAATTTCATGGAAATGTCTATATCGATGAAATATCGACGTTAATAGATATTTTTAGAAAAATTATAAATATAAAAAAAAATCATAAAATATATTAATAAAAATGTAACTGATTTCATAAAATGAATTTATTTATTATTATATTATATCTATATTAGTGATATTTTATCAATCCATTTACCTTATATTCATTTTTAAAATAAATATTTGAGATTTTAATTAAATTATACAACATAATCAATTTTTTGAAAAAAGTTAAATTATCAATTAATTTAAGATAAAGTTTATCCAATCGGATTTGATTTTTAAAAAGTTTTCACTTTAAAGTCAGGCTAATAATTATCCATGTTTAAGAAATGGAACAAAAAAATAAAATAAAATAAAAATCTCAAACAAGTTGTGGGCCCCTTGATTGGACAAATCTTGTCATTAATTGGGAGTGGAGATCACTATTTATCCAAATTCCAAAATTGATTTTTAAAAATTAATAAAATGATTTTTTTAAAAAATAAAAAATAAAATGATTTGAAATGTGTGGGACTCAAAAAAAAAAAAAACATGGATTCGTGGATGTTGACTATGAGAGGAGCAGCCATTGAGGCCGCCATGTTACAAGTTTAACCTCGAACTTTTACGACTTTAAATTAAAAGTACAGTTTCGTTCCTAACAAATTTAAATTTGAGCTTCGTGTAATTTAAGTTGAAGCTCACTAAAGAGTTAGAGATGAACGAGAATGAACTCAACTGCCTAAATCGGGAGTTGACCATCTTCAGGCTTGAAACGTTCAAAGAGAATGTGGCTGCCCCAACTAGGTAGAACATCTCTGGTCGAGGAGATCACATCGGGAACAAATGTTTGTATCGACGACCACCTTCATCTAAATTAGAGAATAGATGCTCTAATGCAACAACGTCCCTAATCAGGGCCATTTCATCTGGATTCAAAGTTGAAAAGTTCGTACAGAGGCAAAACGACCCTATAGAATTCTATTTGGATTAGTTCGAATGACCATCTTTACTCGAATTATGATAGCCATTTAGATTAATACGAAACCTAGCTAGAACCTTAAAATATTAATACAAAAACTCAGTCTACGATAGCTACCTACTTAAGATTTGAAGCTCCACGAGTTTAATTGACAACTAAACCTGAGATCATTAATGAAGTAGAATATAAGCTAACTCGAACATTTACAAACATAAAAAAGTATTATAATATTAGTCAACCAGACAAACATGAACATAACTCGAGGTCGGACATTGAAATCCGAGCCCTCACATTTGTTATTTAAAAAAAAAAAAACAAACAAACATGAGTTAACTAGTGGTAGAATGTGTTCTAAAATATGGATGAATTTAAGAATTAATAAACTAAAATTATAAACCTGCAACGTGGAGGATTAAAAAAATGGAATTAATTTCTACGTAGATTAATAATATATTATAAATTGTTGTATAAATTTAAGGACAAAAATTTGTAACGAACAACACGGAGCTTTCAGACCAGGTTGAAACCCGGAGGAATTTTCTTTTTCTTTCTTTCTTTTGATTTTGATAATCTTCTCAGCTGAGTGAAGTGAAGTCCGTGGAGAAACAGAGCCGAAATGAGCGGCGGAGGTGAAGGAACGACGCTGGAATTCACCCCGACGTGGGTTGTTGCCGCCGTCTGTACCGTCATCGTCGCCATTTCCCTCGCCTTAGAGCGCCTCTTACACTTCCTCGGAAAATACCTCAAGAAAAAGAACCAGAAGCCGCTCTATGAAGCTCTTCAGAAAGTTAAAGAAGGTTCGATTTGATTCCGAATCTGAATCCATAGTCCGTTTGATTTTCCTTTTGCTTCCTTCTTTCTCCTGTTCATTCTTGTGTGTGTGTGTGTGTGTGTATTTGCCTTTTCGCCTTTCGAATTTTGCTGTGTTACTGTTTAGATTGTTGAATTTTCTGTCCTTATTTTGGAATCTGGATGCTGCAGAATTGATGCTTTTGGGGTTTATTTCGCTTCTGCTCACTGTATTTCAAGGCGTTATCTCAAAATTATGTGTTCCTGAGAGTTTGACCGAGCATTTCCTTCCGTGTAATCTGAAGGATAAAGCTAAAGCTGAACACGATTCGCACTCTGGTGAAACTGGTTCGTCAACGACGAAACATTTTCAAACGTTCTTTGTTTCGAGTATTTCTGGCTCGGCCAGGCGCCTTCTATCTGAGGGATCGGCTGCACAGGCTGGTTATTGTGGTAAAAAGGTGAAGATTAAGCTAGCCATCTCAATTATGCTCACCATTGATGCTCAATTATGTTTGAATGGTGTATTAAATGAATATTTAGTAGGTTATAGTACTGGAGTTGTTTGATTCTGTTCATTGCTTACTGTTCTATACATTTGATGGTATTTTACAAGTTTGAAATTCATTGAGTTTTGTGGAAAGTTTGGGGATGGAAAACATATAAAGTTTATTGTGCTTTTCTTCCAATATGATTTTTTTTTTATATAAAACATATTTATTTTCCTCTGCTTCAAGGTTTAAGGATGGAAAACACATTGGGCTATCATTTAAGGGTTAGGTGAGAATAATTATGATACCACCGTATCCCACCCCCACACTGGGTAGACTTGATGGAATAGAATAGAATACTTGCCAATTTGAAGAGAGTAAACTTTGAGTCTGTGTTTACTTGTCAATGAAGGAATGAGAATCATTCTACCTCATTCTTATATGATATATATATATATATATATATATATATATATATTTGGGGGGTGGGAGGTGGGGGAAGAAAGTATTATTCATGATTCCTATGTGTCTCCTGGTTATATGATACCTTACTTGTGTCTCCCACCAAATTAGAGATCAAAGTCATAATTTTAGGGGAATGAGATTCTCTTAAAAAAGGTAAAGAATCTTACTTTGATTTTTAAATTTATGAACTCTTGCCTTTTTCTTTCTTGTTTGTTAAATTATTTCCTTCTATCTTTATTTTTGTGATGGATATTATATGGAACAAATTTTCATTCCAAGTGTCAGACAAAGTAAATATTAACTCTAGTGTACTGTATTTTTTTTTTTTTAAAATTCTGATTCTAAAATGGGTTTACCGAGCACAATATCAATTTAAAATGATTTCTATTTCAAGTATTAGCAAATAAAATAAATTGTAATATAAATATTTTATGGCCTTTTGTCGTGGAAATTGAGGTTGTATCCACAATTCACAAGTATATCTTATTGGTGTCTTACATTATCTTGGCTTCATTACTCTGCCTCTACAAATATCTTAGTCTTAATAAATTGATTTATTTTGACCTTTCTCATTTATATGTTTCTCCTCTCCAGAATAAGGTGCCATTGCTATCACTTGAAGCATTACATCATTTACATATTTTTATCTTCATCCTAGCTATTGTCCACGTGTCATTTTGCGTTCTCACTGTAGTTTTTGGAGGATTGAAGGTCAGCAACTAATAGGCTTATTTTCTGATAGTTATCATTACAGGATAACTTGACTGTTTGATCTCAGTTTTAATTCTGTGTAATGATATAGATTCGTCAGTGGAAGCATTGGGAGGATTCTATTGCAAAAGAGAATTACGATACCGAACAAGGTAACCATTTAACATTAATATTTTCTGGTCATTTTGGATGTATATCATCATTAAATTCTTGATGCATCCCCATATAAATGAAATCCCATGAAAAGTGAAATAATTTGAGATTGGAAGAGCTGTGTGAATAAATTCTAAAAAGAACTCTTGAGTTGATTTTTGCGCTGGAAAGCTCTCTGCTTGGTTCACCTAACATGTTTATGTGGTTTGGTTTTTCTTTTTGGTCTTACTATAATCCTGATGCTTTTGCAGTTCTAAAACCAAAAGTCACCCACGTCCATCAACATGCTTTTATCAAGGACCACTTTTTGGGTATTGGTAAAGATTCAGCTCTTCTGGGTTGGTTGGTAGGTCAAATCATTTTCTCAACATAAATTATCATTCTGCCTTCAATCTTGTTTTGCTTGATGTTGGATGCCTTCCCTTAGCTTTTCTTCTTCACATCCCGGTTCCTAGAAGTTTCTATCACAACTACTTTTTAAATAAAATATTTCGTTAAATTGTAGTTATGTTTTTACTAATTCTAATACCATGGGCATGTTTCAAATTGCAAGGTGCATTTCAAGGCAAAGCAATGAATTTCTTGCTTGCCTTGAAGTTAGAAGGTGCACTGAAAGCGTTTCATGTTAGTGAAGTGATTGCGTGGTTTCTTAAGATTTAAATAATATAATTGTACATTGAGAAAAAATTGTTGAGATGATGATTGTGAATATCAATACGTACAATCAAACGAAAAGAAATGCCGGTAGAATCTCATGGAAGATGTGTTGAGGATTGTTGGGAGTGAATCCACATTGGCTAATTTAAGGAATGATCATGAGTTTATAAGTAAGGAATACATCTCTATTGATATGAGACCTTTTGGGAAGCCAAAAGCAAAGCCACGAGAGCTTATGCTAAAAGTGGACAATATCATATCATCGTGGACATTCGTGGTTTCTAACGAGATGTACAACATGGACCTTGTTTCTCCTCTCCTCTGTATTTAACTAGTGGCTCAAAGGATGTAGAAAATCAAAATAACAAATGAATGATAATCAAATGCCGAAGGTGAAGTTCTGTCGCCTTCGTTTGAAAAAAATGTTAATGTATATATTCTCAGGGTACTTTTATATTTATCATGCTATGTATAGGCTCCACATCTTGAAGTTTGAACGCGTCTTTTGGAATCAAAACCTTTGATGCTTTTAAGAGTTATTGCTTGTTGTTTTCTTGTTGTTTTAACACTTTTCTTGGGTTTTCTTCAGCATTCCTTCCTCAAGCAATTTTATGCTTCTGTTACTAAATCAGATTATATAACGTTAAGGCTTGGTTTCATTATGGTAAGCCTTCGACGATTCAGTGTTGATGTATATTTGACTTTCATTCTCAAACTGCATAATAAAAGTTTCACTGCTGTAGACACACTGCAGGGGCAACCCGAAGTTTAATTTTCACAAGTACATGATACGTGCGCTTGAAGATGATTTCAAGCATGTTGTCGGTATCAGGCAAGTTATATCTGGAACTGGAAGTACCCTTTTACATTTCGCTGCCTGGTTTCTCAATTTTGTAGTTGTGCCAATCATGATACATTTTCTACTTTCATTTTTCTTTTCCTCAGTTCTCTCATTTTTCTTGCATTCTTTGTTGCAGTTGGTATCTTTGGATCTTCGTGGTTGTCTTCTTGTTCCTTAATGTTAACGGTATTGGCACTTCTTTGATTCGTTAATATATGGAATTTCCTTAAATTTAATATCAAATAATGCCCACAAGATTGTCTTTGAATATGTTGTTGTGGTTATTATATTAATTCTCAGAATATCAATAGCCTCGCTTGTAACTCATGGTTCACCAACTTCAAAGGACAAGGATTTTGATTGGTTTTCTATCCGGGACTTGAATCTAAAAACATGGAGGGTATATCCAAACATCTTAATCCCTTACCACCCTTTGAATAATATCTCAAAACATCCTAACCCTTATCCAAAGGATAACAGCCCAAGTCCACTGCTAGCAGATATTGTCCTCTTTGGGCTTTCCCTTCCGTGCTTCCCTTCAAGGTTTTAAAACACGTCTGGTAGGGAGAGGTTTCCACACCCTTATAAGCAATGCTCCGTTTTCCTCTCCAACCGATGTGGGATCTCACACAAACCCTCAAACTCAAAACTTCGGGGGATATCTCCGAACATTCTAAATCCATTCTGCCATCCCTCCCACAACTAGAGACACCCATGTTAGTATCTCACATATAAAACTTTATCCTTCCCTATTCAGATAAAAACCTTTTTGAATAGTTGCTATATGGAAGTTCGATACGTGCTTTATATATCAGGGTGAGCTCCCATTTTATTATCTGTATAAAAAAAATGTTAATGTGTTAATCATTATTTTCTATTTGCACATACAGGTTGGCATACATATTTCTGGATAGCATTCATTCCTTTCGTTGTGAGTACTTTAATCACCTCTCACAAATCTGTTTCTTGTTAAGTTGTCATAATATAGCTGCGAAGGCTTAGTTACTTTACTGAATTTTACAATTCATTACAAGATCGTGGGGGTTTGTAGATGGCAATGGTAAGTTTTAAGTATTGGTTTGTGAGTAATAATATCTCTGGTAGAAACCAGAGAATTGAAAATCGAGATTATATTGATAACTCAGACTAAGAAAATACAATTTTACAATTCATTAGGGGAACTAGACATCGTGATTACTCTCTATAAGATCCCATATTGGTTGGGGAGGAGAATGAAACATTCTTTGTAAGGGTGTGGAAACTTCTCCCTAGCAGATGCGTTTTAAAAATCTTGAGGGGAAGCCCAAAAAGGAAAGCCCAAAGAAGACAATATCTACTCGCTTTGGGCTTGGCTGTTACTCTCTCTCTCTCCTAAAACCACCCAATGAGCTCCCAAATACTGTTTATCCTTTTGACTTCAGCTATTTTCTTGAAATGGTATGAAGTTCTGTTATACTTCTACAATTTCTTTCTTGTACATTTCATATGAGATAATTATTACTCCTCTTTTTCCAGCTTCTGCTCGCTGTGGGAACAAAGCTGGAACATGTGATAACCCAGCTGGCTCACGAGGTTGCCGAGAAGCACATAGCAATTGAAGGCGAGCTAGTAGTCCAACCATCTGATGATCACTTTTGGTTTCAGCGGCCCCGTTTTGTTCTCTTCTTGATCCACTTCATACTATTCCAAAATGCTTTCGAGATTGGATTTTTCTTCTGGATATGGGTAAGCAGCAAACTGACTGTATCTTATGGTGATTGTGGTGAACTATCGTTTAATTTAGACCCGAAGTCGATCCTTGCTTGGTTATGTTTCTAGGTTCAATATGGCTTTGACTCGTGCATCATGGGCCAAGTCCGCTATATCATTCCAAGGCTTATTATTGGGTAAAACAGAAACTCCATATTTTGGTTTTCCTGCAACACAATTACTTGATGATGGTCACTAATTTCCAATTAAATCTATTTCTGGATCAGGGTGTTTATTCAGGTTCTTTGCAGTTACAGCACCCTACCGCTCTACGCCATCGTCACTCAGGTGAGTCAAGTGATGGGTCATTAAGAGAGCTTATCATAGTCAAATTCTTTCGTAAATCTTCTTATTTACACAACTACATATGGATGAAATTCAACTGATTGCTTTGAGTTCTGTTATGAACAACAAAACGGAACAGGAATGTCAAGTCCTTAAGTCTCGTTTTTCATTAGTTTTAAAAACTTATTTTCATGTAAAAATTTTACATTTTTAATTTAAAATTAGGAAACAAAAACAAGAAATAGTTATTGTGAGATCCCACATCGGTCGGAGGAGGAGAACGAAACATTCTTGACAAGAGTGTGGAAACCTCTTACCAGCAGACGCATTTTCAAAATTTTGAGAGGAAGCTCGAAAGAAAAAGCCCAAAGAGTACAATATCTGCTATTTGTGAGCTTAGGTTGTTATAAATGGTATAAGAGCTAGACCCCGGGGGATGTGCTAGCGAGGCTGATCCCCGAACGGGGGTGGAACAATTTTATTATCATCAACCTGACAATTGTTAACCTATCTAGCTAATTGTTTGCCAATGGAAAAATGTAGATGGGAAGTTCTTTCAAGAAAGCAATCTTTGATGAACATGTACAAGTAGGCCTAGTTGGTTGGGCCCAGAAGGTGAAGAAAAGAAAGGGACTTAGAGCAGCTGCCGATGCCTCCAGCCAAGGAGGCAAGGAAGGTAGTTCTACTGTGGGGGGTATTCAACTGGGAAGTGCAATGCGCAAGGCTTCTGCACCTCAAGAAATTAAGCCTGATGGCTCCAAATCCGATGGTCTGCCTTAGAACATGGGTCCAAATCTAATGATTAAGCTAAGCTACCCTCTCTCTCTATTTCATTTGTCGAGTTGTATTACACGGTAACCGCTATGCTTACCTCGTCCTGTAGGAGAAACGTTGAAGCGTTTCGATATACAGTAAAATTTTTAGCAGTGGAACAGTCTTATTATCCATGACTTGTATCTTGTCTCACATTGATGATCTATTTAGGGTGTTGAATTTGTGAACTTTGATGCTGTGTTTCTTTCAGCAAGAGGTTCACCTTGTAAAAGTATAAAAAAAATGTATGATATTGATGTTGTCTACTTTTGGTCTATGAAGCTTCCTGTGATGTGTGATGTTTGCTCATGGACGTGCTCGAGTTTCATTGGTTTGTTATTTGAGACTTATTTTGTGCCATCAAAATCATTTAATATCATTTTAGTCTCTATACTTTCAAGTTTGAATATCATTTTAGTCTCTATACTTTCCGTTAATTTTAGCATTAATCATTGTTAACGAACTAAAAATTAATATGTATTACTTCACTAACTTCGTATGTTGTTGTAGCATTACCTCACTCGATTAGGTTAATTTTTTATTATAAAATTATGTGCCTACGAACCAAAAACTAGGATCTATTTTCATTGTTTTTATCGCTCTATTTTCATTGCATCTAATAACTCTTTGAAAATTGAATCGGGCTAAATCGTTTATTGACATCTCATAGATCATCTACAAATGTTTTACTTGGGTAACCGTAACCTGTGAAGTATTTTTAAATTTTAAAAAAAATTGAAGTTTTTTTTAGAGATAAGAATATTAATGGAATTTTTTTAAAATTAATGATATTTTTTAAACCCTTCTTAAAATAAAAAAAAAGTATTTTTTAAATTTTTTAAGAAGAGTATTTTTTAAATAAAATATTAATAATTTTAGTACAAATCTAATGGAAAGGGTATTTTTTAACTTATTAGCTTAGTACTCTTATATATTTTTTGGTTTTAATTAAAATATATATATATATATATATATATTTTTTGAGAAAAAATGAAGTTAAACTTATTCTTATTAATTTAGCAAGTCAATTTTTATTTTATTTTTATTTTTAATAATGGAGGGAAAATAAAAGAAATAAGCGGATAAGAAAACGGGTCATGCCTCTCAACCCCAGTTCTTCTTCTTCTTCCTCATCATATGAATCACTGAAACCAGAGAAGCAGAAATGTCCGTCATATCAATTTCATTAGCTTCAACCTCTAACAGACATCCAATTTTCACTAACAATGCTTCTTCTTCGTCACCATCTTCATCTCTGAAACTAAGAACTTCTTTCCTCGCCCTTCCTCTCAAATCCCACCGGAACAACAACCTCCGTTTCCAATTTCCGAGGCCAAGAACCACTAGACGCCCTAACGATGGCCTTTCGGTGTGTATGAGCATGGAGGCCGGCATTGGCGTTATGGCTACCAAGCTCGGTATGATGAGCTTCTTCGAGCCGGACGGCAAGGTCGTCCCTGTGACGGTGGTCGGTTTCAAGGAAGGCAATATCGTCACGCAGATTAAGACGGAGGCGACCGACGGCTACAGTGCCGTTCAGGTTGGGTACCGTAGGGTTAGGGATCGGAAATTGACGAAACCGGAAATGGGACATCTCCAGAAAGCTGGTGCGATTCCTATGCGCCACTTGCAGGAGTTCCGTCTTGAGTCTATTGATGGATTTGAGCCCAATCAGCGCCTGGTTTTTAATGAACTTTTCAAGGAGGGCGACCTGGTTGATGTCTCCGGCACTACAATTGGAAAGGGTTTTCAAGGTTTGTGTTTCTTGCTTATTCTGTTTGAAGTCTGTGTTTAATTCATTGGCGAAATTGCACTTGGTTTTCTGTTTTTCTTGGAGCTTCTGGTTGTTGGAGATGAATTTAGGCATCCTCAGTATGGATTTAGCATGAATTTCATTCATTTTTTTGCTGTTTCAATCCACAATGGCATGTACAATTCCAAAGCCTGAACTAGTCTTCGAAGTCCAGATGTAAATTCTAGCCTAAATTTTAAACCATAGTTCTACATTTACCTTTCGTAAGTGTTTCAAAGTATCCTTGGTGCAAAAAAATCTTTAGAATTTTAGACAAAAATTGGGATATGGAATGCTGTGGAAGTAACCACTTATCTAAACACACCATTTCAAGTCTCAATTTTTTTTGTTCGAAATTCATTTCTACTCGACGTTTGATTTTATAGTTTAACCAAAATTTTAATCATTTTATGTTCTCCACTCCCTTGCAACAGTACTCTCTAACTGGTTTCTTGTAACCTTCTCCCTCTTCTAATTCTTTTTCAGGTGGAATCAAGAGGCACAACTTCAAAAGGGGTCCAATGACCCATGGTTCCAAGAGCCACAGAGCACTTGGATCGATCGGTGCAGGAACTACACCGGGGCGTGTTTACAAGGGGAAGAAAATGCCTGGAAGGATGGGAGGAACTAAGAGAAAGATCAGAAAGCTCAAAATTGTAAAGATTGATGATGACCTTAATGTTGTGATGATCAAAGGCGCCGTCCCAGGTAAGCCAGGAAACCTTCTTCGAATAGCTCCTGCTAAGATAGTAGGAAAGAACATTCCCAAGAACTAGCTTTAGCTCATCTCTTGGAATTGTTCTCTTCTCAATTCTTTTTTGTTTCTTGAACTGATGCAACTCTTTTACTGGTTATTTGTATTATGATTAGATAACGATTGAGTTCTCTAGAAAATGTTTGATCCATTACCATTTTTCATTAGTTGGTGATTACAAGCAATGAGCTGCATTCATCTATTGATAAATTTTTGTTCTTATTAAGCTTTTTGTGCGTATACTACAAAAATTGTGGTATTCTGAAGCAACTTTGCTTTGTAGGACAATCCATAGAACCATTTTTCCTTTGTTAGGCAATTGGAATTTTCTTTCCAGAAAAGAAACCATTAAACCATCTAGAATTCATGGAGCAGGACACAATAAACAAGAGAGCGGATCGATTCTCCATCTCCATTCTCATTTTTTGTTCATAAATTGAGAGACACATTGCTTGGAAGCTAAAATTAGCAGTTTTTCAAGTAAACTTTTGGCACGATGTCCTCGAACATACTAGAACAAATGAAAAAAGAAACCCTCAAGAAAACGTATGATCATATCGATCTCAAACGTTCAATCCACATAACCATTGTATTGACTACTCTCCAAGGACCCTCCAAAGATTAACCAATTCTATTCTTTGCTGAACAAGTGCATCGATTGCTAGGAGATTAACAAAGAAAGGAAATATGTACAAAACCTACAACAAGACGGCTACATACAATACATTAATTTCATAATTAGCAGAAATTCTGTAAGCCTCTAACTTCTAATCTCTGTTCTGCTGAGCTTGAGGTAGATGGAAAGATACTGTCATGGCTAAATATTTGCAGACCTTGCTTAACTATCTCCTTACCGCTCGATCTCGAGCACCAAATAATCAACCAAACGAGGATCCCAATACGTCATACTGCTCATATCTCTGAGTTCATGATCTGGTAGTATAGTGGAGATGTTGCTCGTAGAAGTTGATCAACTGGTATTAGTAAACACGACATTAGAACTTAGAATCCAAGGAAAAGATGATTGCACATCGTTTAAGGCAGTTCAAAAGCATAACACAGTGAAGAACAGAACCAATTACCAGCAGAGGATTGTTAGCCTTGAGGAACTTGTTATCAACCATCACTTCTGTTCCATCAGACCTAAAACCAGGAAACCGAAAACAATAAACTCATTTGAGAATATGAAGGTCGACTCGAGATCCGTTTACATCCAAAGATGTCAGAGACACGGGCTTGCCGATGGGTTTGTCTCTAACTATCTTGAGTGCATATATTTCTATGGACTGATACTTTCATGTTCTTAGTTCTTTAGATAAAATATTTTAGGACCTCGTGAACATCATTTCGACTAGTTGCTAAATAACAGCAATACAAGTCAAGAACTATACCAAGAAATGTCAAACTTTTCTAAGAACAAGAAACAATTTTTGTAACAACCCAAACCCATCGCTAGCAGATATTATCCGCTTTGGCTTATTACGTATCGCCGTCAGTCTCACGGTTTTAAAATGCGTCTGCTAAGGAGAGGTATCCACGCCATATAAGGAATGTTTCGCTCCCCTCTCCAATCGATGTGGGATCTCACAATCTAAACCCAATGTCATCGCTGACACACTGCCCGGTGTTTGGCTCTAATGCCATTTGTAACAGCCCAAGCAGACAATATCTGCTAGCGGTAGGATTGGGTTGTTACAAATGGTATCAGAGCCAGACACCGGACGGTGTGCTAGCGAAGACGCTGAGCCCTCAAGAGGGATAGATTTTGAGATCTCACATCGGTTGGAAAGGGGAATGAAGCAGGGTGTGGAAACTTCCCCTAGCAGACGCATTTTAAAAACTCGGAAGAGAAAGTCCAAAGAGGATAATATCTGGTAGCGGTAGGCTTGGGGGTTACAATTTCAAATAAATTGTGTTCTTAATTGAGAATGTTCATCCTACGACCTCGTACCATAGGGTTTACACTTCATTTTGTTTAACTTAACATCCACAAGAAGAGGAGAGACAAAGCTAACATACCTCATGGCCACAAAAGTTACCAACACATCCTGAATGTTGTTTGACACAGATGCTGAACAGCCTAACGGTTTAACAATCTTGATGATACTCGGTTCGTTTCTGGCTTCATCGGTTCTGTTATTCCAACTTAAACTTTCTCCATGATATCCAGAATTCTCAACCCCTATTGGTTCCGCTCCGACACCGGATTCTACTACAGCTAGTGTCAATTCTGGATTTTGAACCACAGGCAATTCAGATAAAGTTGAATCTTGTCTAAACCTTTTAACCGAACCAGATTTCCTTCTCTTAGCCCCGGTGCACCGATTTTCAGTAACTAGTTCTACAGAGCCAGTTTTAGAGAGGCCAGCAGCAGGGATGTTGTTCTCTGTTGTCCTGGCGTCGTGAAAATCGATTGCAAGCTTATCACCAATGGCTATGTTCGTTAATACTGTTGCCTTAAGCTCACTGAGCTTCGGATCGTACTCGTGTTCAGCTTTCTTCTGTTCAAATCGTTGCGTGGCATTCCTGCCCGCATTATCAATATCAGCTAGCCTGCCTCTTTCGATAGCAGTTACATCCCCGTTCTTTTCTCCTTCATGATTATAAACGACCGATCGCGAACGAGCATAAGGATTAGTCAGGCTAGGTATGTTTATAGGAGCAGAGGGCAGACGTTGATCAACGACACTGATTTCAACATCTGTGACATTATAAGTAGAAAAATTAGCTCGCTGCTGCCTCTTCTTGGTTTGAACATGAACAACCCCATGTTTTCGCTTCCGCTTCCGCTGCTTTCCCGAAATTAAACTTCAAAAACGAAACCAAACAACATTATACCATAGACTAATCAGCATACCATGCCACATAATGTTCTTCCTCCAGCTACCAAAAGAACAATGCTGAAGTAACTAGAAGAGAATACCTCTCTTCGAATGCCTCGATGAACTCGGAGCACGTATGGAGATTCTCCAAGGGCTCCCAAGTATTAGCCGTCTCCGGCCAGCCACGCCTTCAGGAAAGCTCGGTTAGGTTAGTAATCTGAGTTATCACAGTCAAGCTCTAACAAGCCAAAGTACCAGCACTTACCATTTGATCAAATACTGAAGCTGGCCCTGTTTTTAGAATCAATCATTCCCATAGCAAAGCAATAGAATAAGAAATCCCAACATCAGGAAATGTACAAACAAAGAAACCAGAATAGCAGAGCAGAAGGAAAATTGAGTAAACCTTGCGAACCCTTTTTCGACGAATGGCTTCAATTTCATAGAATCCATCATCGAGATTGGTTCTCTGAGCATCAAAAGCAGCCTCAGTCCCATCCTGTTCATCCTGTTCATCTTGTTCGTCAGGCTCGTCTAGGTTTTGCTCTTGATGGGTCTCCGACAAATGGGATGTCGAAGGCTCACCACCATTAATGGGGTTGTTGTTGGTGTTCATATCAACGTAATCCGAGTCGCCGCCATGAACTTCACCGCCATCCATGGCGTCCTGAATTGAACCCATTACAACCTCCGTAGAACCACTCGCACTTTTCTTCCTCCTTCCCCCTTTGATTTTCATTCCAGAACCCTCTTTCTCTCTCTCTCTCTCCTGAAAATTACACACATTCTCTGTAATTTCAAGGGGTTTTGTGGGTTCTTAGAGAGAGAGACAAAGGGGAAAATGTCCCAACAAAATGGAGCTGAAGCTGAGATTGAGAAGACCGAGCTGCCACATTTCTCTCTTTCTTTACCAATTGAAGTTATTTTGTTCTTGGGATTGATGGCATGATATTCTATTAGTTTGATCTTTTAAATTGTAAATGATTTAGGGTGAATTGAAGGGAGAAATGAAGTGAGCCCATTCCGATTTCATAAATTGAGCCCATTTGAAATGTAAAGCGTCAAATTTGGGAGAAGTTTGAGATTTTGTTTCTTATCAACCAGAAAAACTGCATCCTTTGCAAGCTTGGCGGCTGCTTTTAGGGTAACAGATTTAGCTGCGGCAGCTGCTATGTAGTTGTAGCCTTTGTGGATAGGCTTGATTCAACCGCCTAAATATGATCTTAGTTGTCCCGATCATTCCCCTTTTGGCGTGCTCTTGGCATCGGCCAGTGGACTCTCCATTTGACCCGTCTTGAAATACGGACTGAGAAGTCTGACATGTGTGCGAGTTAATGGATGAGTAGATCCATAAGGTGCAAGGAAGCTAACTGATGGGATCCATTCGTGGGTTGCACCACTTATTGACCTTGATCTTTTGAGAAGGGTTCGAGTGTGAGTATGTAAGTCTTACTATAGAGACTGAGTCGGTCTTAGTATCAAAAGGAGGCAACTTAAGTCAATCCATATAGAATGAATGTTGTAGTTGCTCCGATCGATGTTGGTGGTGATGCTACATACAAGATACATTGTGTCCATAACCATAGAATAAGACACTAATCGAAATGCATACACTTGTCTCATACACTATGAGGATGGTGAGAAAAGATATATTTTACATCCCGAAGAGCTATAATTGGAGATACCATTATTTCTCGTACAAATGTTCCTATAAAAAAATGGGAAATGCCCTAGCTTTGAGTGCGGTTTGAACTATTGATTTACATAATTGGAAGTAACCAATTAGGTTTACGACAAAACTTAGAAATCGATCACCAATCCAATTTGAGTACCTCCACAGGATAAATCTCAATAGAAAACTAAGGAGTGACGTCAGTAAGTGGTTGAGTTCAGTAGTTCTCATATAAAATTAATTATTTCAAGCACCAACAGAACCAGAAGTGTCCCTTGTTTCAAAGAGAGGACGGGTTATTCACATTTCATTTGATGGTTAGAGGTAAATTGAAAGCTAAGCAGTGATAATTCTAAAGATTCCCGAAGGAAAAAGTAGAGATGTCTCCTACGGTACTTATATTGTATGGAAGTATCGACGTAATTTCATAGAGTTATTTGATTTGAATATTACATGAAGAATATAAGTTGGACGAAAGAACGAGAAGACTTAGAATGTCTAATAGATTCGAAATTAACTTTGAACTTAATAAATTTCAATTTTGTGGTGGATGAATTTTAAAAATTTACAAGTTAATAAAATTATAAATCTATAAATTTATAAATTAATAAAATAATAATGATAGCCGAAAAGAAGGTAGTCCGAGTCAGCCGACAACATTTCACGTGGCTGACGCGTCACGGATATATGTTTCTGACATTTCCCTCA